AAATAGTTCAATTCATAAATTTTTAGAGATAAGTGAAAGAAATCTTCCAGGCATGACAATGTATTAACAAAATCTCAATTACCTGGAGAGCAACTGCGAGGGAACGGAGCCCACGTTCTGCAAATTTTTCAATCATAGAATGTACCCTCCATTCAATTTCTGATTTGTTATGGGCTAGATTGAGAATCTACCAAGCATAAGTGCAAACATATCAGCTATTCTGGGTTCAATTGTATAGTAACAAGTTGTGATTAAGATATTAGGTATGATAGGCTACCTGCTCTGGTGCGCCCTTGCTCACTCTGTGCATTTCACCAGCTTTATCTATGTATGTAAGAGCTGTCCTTTTGTCGGTTGGATTGAATGGAAGGAAGTGAACTTCTTTAATGCCAGCTCGTGCCTTTCAAGAATCAGTGGAATCATTAAATGGAAACTTCACAAGAAGAATTAATTTGATCATTAGCCACAAAAGTTAACTCAGTGGTGAAGAATCAAAGCAATCATTAGCCGGAAAATGTCAGTCTAGATTTTTATCTTGTTTCTTTTTTCCCTGATGATGTCAAAATATGGTGTCAAAATTCCATATTTTCTGCATGTTGACATCCACATTGAATGACAAACGGGAAATAAATGTTGCAGCCTATCACTGCTGTTTCGAGAGAAAAAAAAAAAGCATCTAAATTTATCAAGACAGAGCCGCAAATATTTTACAAAATAGATTCAATACCTCTTTAGGGTCTCCTAGCATTGAAACAATTGCAGCATCGATAGCATCTTGATTCTCCAACCTTGATGCTCTTGCAGCCATTAACACAACCATATCCTTGTCAACATCTTTGACAAAAACCTGAAAAGACATTATGGCGTCAATAATACCTAAAGCTGTGACACTCACCACATATACTTGTGTCACTACCCTGTGGCATTTATCCCGCAACATGGAGATAGTTTAGGTGGTGGAACTATTTATCCACATTATAGCATGCTAAAAACACGATTTCAAAAATGTATGTTTTTCTTTGCTTTAAAGAAGGTGCATCTCTAATGGAAGCCTACTTCCTGCACAATGTGAATTCCACATAAGATGCTCAAGAGGTCTGTTTAAACTTGTAAAACTATACTTGATCCTATATAATGCATTCAAATGCAGGGGAAAGGCAATGTATAGTGACCAAATGTATAACCTCAATCAGATTTTTGTCCACAGAAAGCTTGTTAAGTGTCAGCGTGCCTGTTTTATCACTGCATAGCACATCCATCCCAGCCATTTCCTCGATGGCAGTCATTCTCTTTGTGATGGCACCCTGAACAAGCCATGCACATCGATCATTCACATAATTTTACACAAATGGGCAGTTTTAGTTCCCTCAGAAGGAAAATAATATGTTTAATCTTTGTGTTTCATGGTAAATTTGGGAACAAATCTAGTAAGCAAGCCTCTAGGTTCACTGACCTGCTGAGATAAGCGATGTGAACCAATAGCCATGGTCACGGAAAGAACAGTTGGCATTGCAATAGGAATTCCACCAATGAGTAGGACAAGAAGGTTATCAATACCGGTACGGTAGCTCTTCCCCTGGTGTCCCCACATAACAATGATTTCAATCACCATGCCAACAGCAATTGAGCAGATGCAGAAGTTTCCAATGGATGTTAACACCTGAATCCATTAAGCATACTCATCAAGAAATATTTGAAAGAACTCTTACATTAGACATCCACCCATAAACAAGTCTAACACCATCATGTTAGAAAAATTGAGGCTAAATCTATTTTAAAAACAATGAGAAACATAATTTGGAGCTCCGTAGGTTTTTGCCGGTCATCGTTCAGATAAATAAGTACAAAAACAAACCTTTTGGAAATGCCCAACATGTGTAGTGTTTTCGACAAGATGAGCTGCCTTGCCAAAGAAAGTATGGACTCCAGTTGCAATAACAATTGCTTCAATTTCACCTTGCTTACATGTTGAACCCGAGTAAACACCATCACCAGGATTCTTAGTTACTGGAAGAGATTCTCCAGTAAGAGCAGACTGTAATTGAAAATGGTAAACGTCAAACCTAGGGGGAGTAAATTTTAGGACAACTCATCATCGTTTTACGGCCATAATGATGTTGCAAACAGTGACACAAAATTACTGGTTTTTTAGACAAAAGAAAATGAGTGCTTCCTCACAATTTGGTGTTATGCAAGACATCTGACTAAAATCTCAACATAACTGATTGGCAGCATTTACATGTCAAAACTAAAACCCATAAATATGCAAGTAACTTTAACCTTTCGGTTGTATAAATTTACCTGTCGTGAATATTATGAACTGGTTGTTTCTTAATCAAGAATCCAAATTGGCTGATAGAAAATGTAAGGCTTAGCCATTTGAAAATAGCAGAACTATGACTGATGAAGTTGCATGTTGTTCCTGTTGCTTTATATTTGGAAGTTAGAGATTCCAATGAGCCACATAGGACAGATATGACTGAAAATCATATGCATGAACTAACATTAAGGTGTATCAGGACTGCTGATGTATCAAGGCATTTATGCACTTCTAAGGCTTCTATGTCTGCAACAATGTTATGAGCCGCTGTCAGTTAGTCTTGAATATAAGTTACAGCACTTTCTGACCAGAATTGAACAACTTGTGTGAAGATGATGAGTCATTGAAATGATTGCTTGGTGGAAGGATGGCTATATGTATGCATCAGAAGGGACCTTTCAATATCATATACTGACCCAAAAAAAAGAAGGGACCTTTCAGAAAAGGTCCGCCTGGAATTGCCAATGAGCAAGGCTAGCTCTCAAGTTGACCTCGACTCAGAGTTTTGCTGGGCACCTATATAAAAAATGACATCTTGATTTTTTTCAAACAGCTTGAGATGAGCATGAATGTCTGGTCAGTTTATCAATTCAAGTTGGACAGATTAGAGCAAAAGCTCATTTCGTAGGCTCTGTGCTTGGTCAGTTTTATATGTAAAAACCCATGATAAGTGCCGAACTAATTGGGTCAGGTCAACTGATTCGGCTTAAGGTTTAGTAAACAAAGAAGAAAGAACAATGCTAGGAAGAATTTCTGAGAACATCAGAAGAAAGCAACCAACTAACCCCTGGATGATCGTTCATGTCTATGATTTTCGATTCTATTTTAAGTGAAACACTAAAGACTGCCTGAAACTAAACCATGAACAGAAGTAAACAACAGTTTTTTCTTTTTCATTCCAATCTTGTATTCATAAAGTCCACTACTCATTCTAAATCAGGTACCTGATCAATCTTTAGCGGATCTCCTTCTAGAAGGCGTGCATCAGCAGGAACAATGTCTCCAAGTTTGATACTGATGATGTCACCAGGAACCAACACTGAAGCATCTTCCTCGCTCCATCTCCCATCACGTAAGATCTGATAGTAGTGATCACAAAATGGGAATAAAAAAAAAAAAAAAAGGTATCATACTTCTATTTAGATTGAAAAATTCTAATTTTTAGGGATGAGGTAGATCTGCAATGTTGCTTGTCACAAATATTTCTGAGAGAGTGAGACCTTGGCTTTTGGAGCCAACCGAGCCATAAGAGCAGCTGCAGCATTTCCGGCATTATTTTCCTCGATAAAACTGATAGTAGAATTGATAATAAGTAAAATCACAATACCAACAAAGTCATAAACATCTGGGCCTCTGCCCTGCAAAAAAATAAGGCTGTGTCATTACATTTTGGTTTTATCCAATACCACAATTAATAAGATCTAACTCAAAGACATCTTGAATAATAAACCCATATGTTTCAGTAACAAAATAATATGACATAGAAATCTACCCCTCCGTTTGCAAGAGCAATGGCCATTATAGCTGCTGCTTCCATCACCCATGACAGAGGATTCCACATAAAGCCCAGAAATTTTAGAAATTTACTTTCCTATGCAAGAAAGTATGGATGACAACAAATCATGGGTTGGAAAAGCTAAGAGAACAGAATAAAAAAACAAACTGCAGTTGGCAAACTGAAAGTGTTGACTAAAAATATAATCTTCTAAACCTTTTTCTCTTCGAGTTTATTGTATCCAAACAACTCCAACCGTTCTTTGACTGCATCAGAGCTCAAACCCTCTCTTGTACATTTAAGATGTTCAAATACTTCTTCAAGAGGGATGTTCTCCTGAATGTAGTAATTACAGCATTAGTAATCTTTCTTTTTTTTTCAGACAGATAAAATTAGAGAGACTTGAACATAAATGCACTGATTTCTGTCTTCCTTTCTTCCCTAATGTTTGTCAGACTCAACATGATGCAACTATTCATGGAAGCAGTATGCAGAGAAACCATTTTGATAATAAATTCTTAAGCTGACGACAAGACTTAGATTTTTGTTTATGGAGAGTCATCGACAATCACAATAGATTTAAGCACATACCAAATCAACTGCTTCCTTGATTACAGCATCGAGGGCAATTGACTTATCGTCCATATTTGGATCTTCTTCAACTTCAACTCTCCACCAAGCAAGCTTCCTGCAAACAATCTGCATATTAATAGTCTTATATTAATTCAAGCGTTCCTATGTTTTGCAACTAAATTACCAGAAAATCTCCCTGTCTACTTATTTTAACCAATCGGTCTACAAAAAGTTTACATATAATATACTGATGTTATTAATAAATGCACACACACGTCCAACAATGCTTATCAACCTTAAGAAAATTCAATTTTTAAAAAAGTTGTAAAAACCATGATTGATTTATCATATTATTGTTTCCAAATTATGCATATCAATTGCTTATCCTTTTTATTTAAAGCCGAACTCAAAAAGTTCGACTTTAAATATGCTTCCATTCACAAATTTGAAAATAATTTCTAACTTGCTCACTAACAAACCCGAACCCCCCCCCCCC